CAAAAAGAAAAAAGCCGGAAGTGGCGCTGTGGCTCAAGTGGTAGAGCGCTAGCCTTGAGCTGAAGAGCTGAGGGACAGCGCCCAGGCCCAGAGTTCAGGCTCACGACCAGAACCCCCCCCCAAAAAAAATTACAAGATTCTCCACTCTTGGTATCCAAAGGGCCCTGATGGTGCTTTAAATTGATTTTTCAGGCACTGTTTGGTGACAAAAGCTTCTCCTCTCACACATTTTTTGAACAATTTATTGCTACCAAAGTGTGCAACCAGAAGATATTCCATCTTGTGTGCAGCAACTTCCTGTTTACCCTAACTGGATCTGATCCAAAAAATTTAAATGTGGTATGTATAATGGCCAAGTTCAGGAAAACAATGGTTTTGTGGCACAAAAATGGCTCAAGAACTCCCTAGATTGTGTGGAAAGCACTTTCCAATGTCTCCCTGTTGTCCTAGACAACATAATTAGTGTGCTTGTAGCTTTCAACTACAAATAAGAAATACCCAGGTTTCATGAACAGAACTTGTGAAGAAAACTTTCCTTCTAACTCATGACAGTAGCTAAAATGCTACCATTAAAACATTCTTCATTTAGAGTAGGGTTTCCTTTTTCCACTTTGTCTTGCATATCTAAGCCTGACCTCAGACCTAATGAAATAAAATCTTAGAGAGTGACTCTGGAAATCTATGCCAGTTCTCCATAATCAAGAATGATTTGTGGAAATACTTATAACCTATGCCTTAATCAAAAGAGACAACGAGATAGCTTTGCAGCGATAGCAATCAATTTACTGTTCCAGGGGTCTGAGCGGGATCTGTGCTGTGGTTTTTATCTAGTCATATCTAATGTAGCTGAATTGTTTTTCCTCTCTGATTAGCACTAGCTGACTGGAAGAGTAAGAAAGGGAAGAAAGTCACTGTTCCCCAGCTAGAAAGAAGCTATGTTTGAAACCTGAAGTGAGTCAGAGCTGAAGGTGGTTTCTACTTACCTCACAGACTTCTGTTCAGTGTCTGTTCTCGTTCTTTCAGTGAAAAGCATGGATGAAAACTTTCCTTGCTTTCACAGCTTTCATGCTTTTCATGCAAACCATGACTGAACTACTGACATTCCATATTTCTCTGTCACTGAATCAATTTTCTAGGTAAGTAATGCTTGCTTGGATAGTCACATCACATAGGTGAAAATATGTAAGCATGGCTAAATAAAAAGCCTTTTAGGCAAACACGAAGAGAGAATTTGATGAGAAAGGCTTCACAAAATAATGTGTTTGGCTATGCATTTGAAATCCTTATCATCCTTCTACATAATCAGATCATAGTTTTTCTTCAAAGACTACTAGATTATGAAACATTGTAGTTTCCGAAAGGTAATTTACTTTAGCACAGCATAACTAAGGGAACATAGAAACTTCTGTAGAACTTGAGACAAAAATAGAACTATCTTGAAATCCTAGAGATTTAGAGTTTTATTCAGTAACTTCTTTCCAATTATTCCTTTTAATCTCCAAAGTGATTCCAATGCTTACTCAGGTAGGAAATATGACTATTTTCTATTTAAAAAGGCAATTGAAAATTTGAACAAAATTAAATTTTTAATCCAGAAGAAATCTAAATACACTGGAAGTATATTCCTGCAAACTTTCAAAGTCCCATTGAATGTTTAATATATTTTTTCTAAAATCAAGCAAAGAGAAACGAAAGCACTTACGTCTGTTCCCAATGTGTTATGTTCTAAGCTTTTGCTGAATGTCCTTTGTTCTTTACCTCTTGTACTCTTGCCCATATTGGGTGGGATGTGTCTGGAAAGAAAAGGTGTATTACCACCTTCTTCCACCAGGGGGCGCCCTCCGTGGGCCATAAGTAATCACTGCTTAAGTTAGACAAAGGGCTGGGGAGAAGAGAGCTCTCTTAAAGACAGGCTTCTTTGTTCAAACTTCCTTTGATTTGTTGTGTTTCTGGGTCTCTACTAAGAAAATTTCAGCCTGTGCCAAGGAGACCTAGGGTTTCTCCTATTCCATCCTGTAATGTTTTCAGAGTGTCTGCTTTGACTCCGAGGTCTTTGATCCATTTAGAGGTGATTCTGGTGCAGGGTGATATATAAGGATCTAGCTTTAGTTTTCTACAAGTAGTTAACCAGTTTTGCCAGCACCATTTACTGAAGAGACTGTCTTTCCTCCATTCTATTTTTTAGCTCCCTTATCGAAGATTAGATGGCTATAGGTCTGTGGGTTCATTTTTGGGTTTTCAGTTCTATTCCATTGGTCATATTCTTGTGCCAGTACCAAGCTGTTTTGATTACTATGGCTTTGTAGTAGAGTTTGAAATTTAGTATTGATATTCCTCCAGCACTGTTCTTTCTGTTAAGGATCTTTTTTGGTATTTGGATCTTTTATTGTTCCATATGAATTTTTGGATTGCTTCTCTCTTTCATTGAAGAATGAGGTTGGAATATTGATAGGTATTGCATTGAAATTTTAGATAGCCTTTGGAAGTATTGCCATTTTCACTATGTTGATCATTCCAATTCAGGAGCATGGGCGGTTTTTCCACTTCCTAAGTTCTGCTTTGATTTCCTTTTTCGGGTTTTAAAAGTTTTCATCATAGAGGTCCTTCACTTTTTTAGTTAACTTAACTCCTAGGTATTTTATTTTTTTTGTGAGGCTACTACAAAAGGAGTTGCTTTCCTGATTTCAGCTGTGCTATTCTCATTGTTGGCATATGGAAAAGCCACTGATTTTTGAGGATTAATTTTATACCCTGCTACTTTGCCAGAGTTTCAAATCAGCTCAAGTAATTTGAGAGTGGAATCCATGGGATTCTTTAAATACAAGATCATGTCATCTGCAAAGAGGGAGAGTTTTACTTCATCTTTCCCTATTTGGATCCTCTTTATATTCTACATGACAAAGGACATAGCTAGCAAAATCAATAGAAAACCCACGATTGTATGGAAGTGCCATACAAAAGACAAGGGTCTCATATCTAAAATATACTTGGAACTCAAAAAAATAAATCCCCCAACTACAAATACTCAAAGAAACAACTTCCTGATAAATAACTGTCTAAAGACTTAAAGAGAGACTTCTCTGAAGAGGAAATAAGAATGGACAGGAAGAAATGCTCAACCTCTTAGTCATAAAAGAAATGCAAATCAAAACAACATTGAGGTTCCACCTCACCCCAATTAGAATGGCTATAATCAAGAACTCTAATAACAACAGATGCTGGAGGGGATGTGGCCAGAAGGGAACCCAACTGCATTGTTGGTGGGAGTGTAAACTAGTTCAACCACTTTGAAAAGTCGTATGGAGGTTCCTCAAAATATTCCACATAGAGCTCCCCTATGACCCAGCAATCCCACCTTTGGGCTACCCAAACGATCACAAACAAGACCACACTAATGCTACCAGCACAACTATACCATACCTGAGATATGGAACCAATCTAGATGCCCCTCAGTAAATGAAAGGATCAAGAAAATGTGGTACACATATACAATGGAATTCTATGCCTCCATCAGAAAGAATAACATTGCCTATTTGTTAGGAATTGGAAAAACTTGGAAAAAAACATATTAAGTGAAGTAAGCCAGGCCCAAAAAAACATAGGTCCCATGGTGTCCCTTATTTGCAATAACTAGTACATGTGTAGAACAAGCAGAAAAGGCCAAAAGCTTTGTACATATGACCATATAAGACGATGTTAAGTGAAATGGACCCTAAGGTAGGGACACAAATACCTTTTTTCTTTCTTTCTTGCTATTGTTTCTAACGTATTTATAATGTACCATGTGATTTTTTTGTTGCTTTGTATGTTCCTCTCCTATGGTATAACCCCTATTTTCACTGTATTTGATGTTGGTGCCCTGCATCTTGTATATACACTTCTCTAACTCAGAGAGGGAAAGGGAAACAAAACAAGATGCTAAATAAGGATTCAGTTTGACTCATTGAGATAATGAGATATACAAAACACTATGTTGAAAACAAATTTTACAACTTTGCTGGGGGGTTGGGGGTAGTTGTGGAGGTGGGAGGGAAGAGATGGTTGGGGGAAAACAAAGGAGGAGGCAACAATGCTCAATAGGAAATGTACTCATTACCTTGCTCATGTAACTGTAACCCCTCTGTACAACATTTTTACAATAAAATATGTACCAAAACAAGAGGAAACAAAATAAGCCAGGCTTCTTTACCTGGGCATCAGTGGCTCCTGTCTGGAATACTAGCTACTTGGGAGGCTGAGAGTGGAAAAATCATAGTTTGAGATTCGCCTGGGCAGAAAAGTTCGTGTGACCCAATCTTGAAAAATAATCTGAAAATAAAACAAAACCAAATAACCCAAAAAAACCAGAACTCAGGCTCAAAAGCTAGAGGCTGGAGTCCTGACTTCAAACTCTAGTACCGTATCATACCATTTTGGTTAGTATGTCTTCTGAGGGGATGACATACATTATTCTTTTTTGTTAAGGACAAAGAATAATGCTCCACTCTGCTGTGTAACATTGATCATGGGAATAGGGGTGATGAATTAACAATGGGAACTTAGTAGTTCTCAGTGACTTATGTTGTGAACCTTAAATTGTTCTGAAAGCTGAAATATTTTTTAATCTTAAACGTAAAATCCAAGAAATTATCTGTATCTTAAAGGTTGATGTGTGATAGAATTCCACGATTTGGCTCTAGATGAGAAATACTCTATTTGCAGAGCCGCCTGGACGTTTACCTGTCACAAAGCTCCGAGGGGACATCTGTTCAGAACATGCTGCACTGGGCCCAGGTACGTTCCTGTTCCTGCCACAGCCCTACCTCTGCGAGGTCTCTGAGGGGCGATCTCAGAGAGGCACCTGTCCAACGATGTGTGAGCATCAACTCCCCCTTTCTCCCTGACTTCAGAGTCTTGGTGACAAGCTGGGTTCCTGCACATTCTGAAGGAGTCTCATTCTTCCACATTGCCTTTTCAGGGAAGGTTCTACCCCCCCTCCTGGGAAATCATCATGGGTTCCAATAGAACCCATGTAAATAGAACCTATGTAATAAAACCTATGTAAATGATAGCATGGACCAGCAAAACTTGCCTTCTAGTTGGCACATAGGGCATTTCAGAATGTGGAAATAATTTTACATTCTTAGCAAACTTCATGCTAAAGAGATATTAATAGTGGTTTGGATTTTTACCCTCAGTTTAAAATTGTCTCATGTCCTCAGGTTTGAGGCTCAATCTTTATTAAGCTCTGAGATAAGTCAAAGTTAGTTGATACAGCATTGAGAAATTTGTGCGTGTGCACGTGTGTGTGTGAGAGAGAGATAAAGAGAGAGAGAGAAACAGAGAGAAATATAGACAGATATGTGGAGAAGGATGTAGAGAACTCTGGTCATGTATAATTCAATATGTATACTAATAAACTTATTCCTTGGGTTCAAATTGATCATCACTATTACAGAGAGAATGAAAAATTCTGCTCCAGGATTTCTGAACAACTTTGAAGCCCGTGTCTCCCAGCAGATATGTCCGGCAAATCTATGAAAAAGGATGTTCTGGGCAATAGGGCCTCCTGCTGGTGAGGCAACAAGCTCTAAGGAGCTTGTTGAGTCATCGAAATTCAATGGTTCACTTCCTCGCTGAACACTCGCCTTATATTCATACTGTTCATAGAAATGATTCCTTTTACTCCAATAGAACTTCACCAACAGTCTTGCAATGGGGGCGTTGGCATTCCTTCCCATTATTCAAATGTCACAGCAAACAGTCTTATACTTCCCAGCTCATCTCTCTTTCAGTAGAACTCTTCTTCTTATACACAAACTATTTTCTAGGGCAGAAATAAGTACTGTTGAGGATAAGACATTTGGTTTAATGTTAGGCAAATGGAAAATGGAAGGTTATTGTTGATGATGATGATGATGATAGTACTGTTGAACCTCTTTAATCTATCATTTACATTTTAAAAATCTGGGATTTAGAAAAGCTTAGTATTTGGGATTTTTCTGAACAAAGAAAATTGATGACATTTACCTCAACTGAACAAAGCTATAAAAATATTCCCCAAACTCCAATGTGGAAAATACTTCCAATCCCAGCATTTCAGATAAGGGAAACTCAACATAGAATAATCCTAGTAAGAGGAGTAGTATTTGTTAAACACTAGAAGGTATTTTGTGTTTTATATAATTATTTTTCTTAATCTCACCATCTTATGAAAAGAATGTTATCATCATTATCATTTCACAAATATAATACTGCCCTGGATAACAAAGTCAGTCCTCCATCAAGCCTGAATACAAACCAGATTCTTCGATAATAGTGTCCAAGTTCTTCAACAGTATATTACCTCTCATTTCTGAAAGCTTGCAGACTGCTGCCTCTTTAAATATAATTTAGGATAAAATTAATTTTAAAATTATTATTCAGGATTAAATCAATAAGTGGGGAAAATATCTGAGGCCTAAGTAAAGAGGGAAAAATTTATTGGTATCTGTACTTACAGTAAACATAAAAACCAATTCAATGTGGGCAACAAAGAATAGAGAAAAGAAAACCCCAGGTTTCTGAAAATTTCTTGTGAATTGTGTAAACATCACAATGTAAAAATGAGCACACTCATTGTCTCCAACACCCAGCCCAGGATGGCTGGTTCTACTGAGAGATGGCAGGTAGCAGAACACCTCCCACTGAGAAAAAGGGAGACTCAATGGGTGAATATTCCTTTCCAGGTGACAAGAATGTTTGAAGACAGACAATAGAGTCAATATAGTTGAGGCCACTTGTTGGGGATCATAAGCCACAAACTTGTTTAGCAGAAATACTGGGAATTTTTTAATATAGAAGTGTTAAACCAGGACTTACGAAAATAGATGTTTAAATTCCTGAAGCCAATGTATACAGCATCTTTGTAAAAGTTTTCAGTGTGGACTTCTGGATGTAGCCCAAGTTGTAAAGTGCTTACCTCGCAAACATGAGACTCTGAGTTCAACTCCCAATATTGCTTATATATGAAGAAAGAAAGAAAGAAAGACAGGAAGAAAGAAAGAAAGACAGGAAGAAAGAAAGAAAGACAGGAAGAAAGACAGAAAGAAAGACAGAAAGACAGGAAGAAAGACAGGAAGAAAGACAGGAAGACAGGAAGACAGAAAGAAAGAAAGAAAGAAAGAAAGAAAGAAAGAAAGAAAGAAAGAAAGAAAGAAAGAAAGGAAGGAAGAAAAGAAGGAAGGAAGGAAGAAAGAAAAAGAAAGAAAAGAAAGAAAGGAAGGAAGGAAGGAAGGAAGGAAGGAAGAAGAAAGAAAGAAAGAAAGAAAAAGGAAAGGAAGGAAGGAAGGAAATAAGGAAATAAGGAAGGAAAGAAGGAAGGAAGGAAGAAGGAAATCAGTACTCGTCAAACAAATTTTCAGTGTTGCTACATTGATGTAGGAGGTTTGTCAGTGGCAAAGTATTGGAAGAAAGCCAAACCCCTTAAAACTTATGTACATTAGTATCCATTTTTAAATATTTATTAATTAGTTATACAAGATGGCTTCAATTCTAGAAGTCGGGCTATGAGCACAATGTGTCTTGATCAGTGTCATCACTTCCATCATTTCTTCCAGTTCCCATCACAGCCCTACCTTCAAATTATATCGTTCAATTTTTACATAATGTACCTTGAACTTCATGACTGTATTTGCTCACCCTTCCTTCTTATATTTGTCCACGCTCATTTGCTTCCCCTTCTCACCCCAGAAACGTTGCAGCCCCCTAATATTCCTTTTGCTGAGTGCTTTGTTAGTCTTTCAAAGGAGTTATACTATTGGACTCCTTGTATTCACGTTTAATTTTTTATTTGATTTATCTTGGGCATTATGCTCACTCAGATTGTTTCCTCATTTCTGATACTCTGCCACTTGATCCACAATTTCAGCCTTTGCCTTTTGCTAGTTATTTTGGAGAAATAGTCTCCCAGACTTTTGTATATTAAATGGCTCTCAAGTATAATCCTTTAGGCCTCATCAGCCATTGGCTCCTGGCTTGTCTGATTAATCTTTATTGAAATGCAATTCATGTGCCTGAGGAGAAGGGTATAAAATCAATTCTTTTGTGCATTCCTTATTTGTAAACTCTCAGTGTGTGCCATCTTCTCATATCATTTAAATATGTGTATTACTTTTGTTCTGTCTTAGGCTGTTAATTCCGGTCAGCTCCAAGCTTATGACTGGGGAAGCCCTGACAAGAATATGATGCATTTCCATCAGGTACAGTTATAATAACCCCGATCAGGCACATACTACAAATTAATCACTAAACTAATGTCCCTACCACTTCCCATTCACTAAAATGGCAATTGTTTATTGCTTCTATCCCATGCTGCTTCTTGGGGCTTACCATGTGCCAGACTGTTATTTCCAATCTTCTCAATGACTATGCCTGGTAAATATCATAATCCTCATTTTTTTGCCAGAGGTTCAAGAAGGATAAGTAAATTGCCAAAGTCACTTAGCTAGCAAATAAACAAAATATTGCCTAGACATTCTTGGATCTAATAGCCATACTTTTTCCATCACAAAGAAATAAGAAGAAACCCTAGGTTGATTCTTTCAAAAGGGAATTCTCTTCCTTTTTAATCTATCGCTATTAAAATAGTTTTGCTTATATAGTTGTTTAGGAGGCCATCTGCTAATTACATTCTTACAAATCCACTGTTTGGATCATGAAAGCTATATCAGAAATATCACCTCAAAGAAAAATTGTCACTACCTGCTGGGAAATGAGTGTCATGATATTTTGTGACAGTATCTATTCACACTTGTAGAATAAATTTTCCATATCCAAAGAAAGTATATATTGCTGTTCTTATTTTCCCCTATGTTGGAAGATCCACTGGTTGTTTTGACATCCTTGCATAAATACTAACTGAACAAGAAGTCATCTGACATAGATGAGGTTTTGAAATTGGTAATGTGTAGATGTGGAAATTTTTAAATTATTTTTTGTTTTTGCTTTGTGTTGGTTTGTTTGTTTTGGAGACACAGTATCACTATGTAACCAGTGCTGTGCTGAACTTCTATGTAGCCAGACAGGCTTGAAGCTCACAATTCTCCTGCCTGTCACTTGAGTGCTGGAATTACAAGCATGAAACTCCATACCAGTGCATATTTTTGTGTGTTCTTTTCTTGTTGTTTCCTTGTGGTGCTGTGGATCAAACCCAGGAGCTTACCACTTCTTTCTTCTGTTTTTTTTTGGTCGGTTGTGGGACCTGAACTCTGGGCCTGGGCACTGTCCCTCAGCTCTTCAGCTCAAGGCTAGCACTCTACCACTTGAGCCACAGTGCCACTTTTGGCTTTTTCTGCTTATATGGTGCTGAGGAATCAACCCAGGGCTTCATGCATGCAAGGCAAACAGTACCACTGAGCCACCTTCCCAGACCCATTTCTTCCTTTTAATTTATACTTGGGCATTGTGTGGTAGAAATGGAAAGTTAATATAGTTCTTAATCTTTATAGATCATTCAATGTATATCGATTGTATACTTGTGGGTTTGAAAAACTTAACACCTGATTGTTTCGCTTCTTGTAACTTGCTAACAAGTTAGGTTTACTTCTGTTGTGTGGATTTATTTCTCTCCATTTCTTTTCTTACATGTAGTCTACGCCTCCATTTTACAACGTTACTAGGATGGAAGTGCCCATGGCAATCTGGAGTGGTGGACAGGATGTCGTGGCTGATATTAAGGACACTGAAGAGTTACTTCCTAAAGTTGCAAACCTTATTTATTACAGGAATATTCCACACTACAATCACATGGATTTTTGGCTTGGAAAGGATGCACCACGAGAAATTTACCAAGACCTCATTAGAATGATAGAGGAGCATTAAAAAAAATTAAATATACCTTCTTTCTTGAAGCTCGTGGATATTTTTTCACAAAAAATCAAAGTCAACAGACCCTAACATGACCCTAACATGACCCTAACATGATTTTCACATCCTCTGCCCTGGCGGGTGGGTAGAACCTGAGTCTCACATCTTGTCAGAGGAATTGACAAAGGTGATCGATATCACAGCTGATTAAGATTGTTACAGTTGGTGAAAGGTGAGGGCTATCATTTCCTAACTACATTATATGGCACAAAATATATGCAAGAAAAAATATATGCAAACATAACATATGTGCAAGATGTCACAACTGGTTAAAGGTGAGGGCTATCATTTAATTACATTATATGGCATAGATATATATGCAAGCAGATTAGAGGTAGAGGTACTTCTTGTTAGCTTGCTAAAGCAAACAGATATGTTGAAGAAGCTCATGTTGTAAAATTGTGCAGCTTTTAAGATCTGAAGATGGAGTCCAGTATGTGACCAGCAAGAAAAACAAAAGGATGCCCGATTTACAACCACAAGCAAATGAATTCTTGAGCACAGAAGAGCATTCTTTCATAGCAAAACCTCCTTTTGAAAACCTGTGAGGAGAAGGATTGGGATTGGGGGGGAGGGGGGAGGCTTTAGTTTGTTTACTTCTTTAGTTTGTTACTACTTTTTCAATGTTTTAAAATATTTGGAATCATTTTCTGACATTCATAATCTCTGATAAATATGTGATTCTCATCTT